TGAAGACGACCCAAGCTTAACCTTGATCTGAAAAGAGGACTCCCGGCTCTTCCTCAGAAGGCCAGGCTTTAATGTTTACTCTCCCTTACTGACCTGCATGTCTTGACTAATCAGACTATAGTAGTTCAAAGTGAATGAGGGCTATTTATATATATTTATTTATGTTTGTGTATGTATGCCTGTATATGTATACACATGTATGTATATAAACTATTTTGTGCGTATGCATATATATATAATTTATGTGTGTATGTATATAGAGAGACATATTTTCTGAATGTTAGCTGGTTAGCAATAAGTATGTTTTAGTTCTGTAGCTCAAATGGAGGATTTGTACAAGCCTTGAAAAGGAAAGTCATGTTAGCCAGAAACCGAGGCTAGGATTCCTGCTATAAGAATGGTTTCTATTAGATGTATAAGCTTGAGCTAGTTGACGGAAGTTCTATTTATAGTTGAAGAAGAGAAGTCCCTGCCTCTGGGGCAATTCATTACCCTAAGATGGAGCACACTTACATGCCTAGTTTTAAGGCAGGTGAAGTTAGGTCTGTAGAAAATCTAGAGAAGCACTTTCTGGCTGAGGACAAAAATGTTAGCTCTGCTTTGCATGTGTAATTATAGGGCATTATGGCAAAGCACATTCCAAAGATTTGAAGTATATTAGAGTGCTCCAGAGGCTACGGGTGTTGCTGTGTTCTCTGGTGATAGTAATGGGAGAATCTGAGCAATACCATGGACATGGCAGCTACTTAATATTCTTTATAGATTTTTAGGCCCTTCTTCATGCATTATTTAAAAATAATAATATTTTCAGTAATAGTAATAGTGTGGCAGAATGATATGCTACAGACAACAAATGCAGTATTTGCCATCCAGGTTTAAAGAGAGCTTGCTTTAGATAAATAGGAATTTTTCTGTGGATGGTTCTCTCCTTCATCAGAATGGCAGTAGGGGTGGGAAGGAGGTGGTGGTTCTTCCCATAAGGATGCTGTCAAATGTTGTGATACTGTGACTATCCCATGGTGACGACTGCATGCTCGATCTGTCTTTTCTCCTTTCTGCCTGTTCTGAGACTTGTTCCCACAGCCTCCTCATCCATTCCCCCATTTCTTGACATACACCGCAAACGTTGTATTTTCTTCCAAATCTGTTCCCTTCATAAGATCCCATCTTCTCTCCTGCATGTCTGGCAATTATTCCCCTAATTCCTAGGTACATGACAGCTCTGCTCTAGCACATTTGTGGGCAATACCAAAAATTACTTTTCAGTGTCAGAGGCAAAACAGGGAGAATGTCTTCTGCCCCTTTACCAGCTTCGTGGAAAGGGGGTGGGGAAAGGCAGAGAGGAGCATTGTGGAAGAAGGTGTTCTTGTTGCCAGTACCAGGAATGTTGCAGTAACACAGTGATAAGTGCCTAGAAGTTGTATCAGTTTCACTTGGTATTGCACACATTTAGAATGTATGATACTGTATCCTTCAGGCCTTGAACCACACCTGACTGATTTCACTTCTTTGCTCTTGCTTCGTCGGATCTGCTCAACAGTGATTAAGCTACAATGGGCCTTTCCAAAGGCAGGAGAGTTTAAATATCAGTAATCTGATCTGCCCTGTTTACTGATCTCTGCTGTTAGCTGAGTTGAAAGTGAAATGTTTTAATTAAAACAATTGGCAATAAGTTGGTATAATGCCATAATTTGCACTGGCCCTCTTCTAGAAAATGACTTAACCTCTGCCTCTGTTGCTAAGGCAACTAATGGACATAATTGTAACTGGGTGTATGTAGAGAGCTAGTGGAGGGCCTAAAGCTTTTTTTAAATAGCTGGGGTATGATGGTGCCAAAAGATTAAAATGTGATATTAGTAATATGTATCCCAAAGCCTCTTCCATACTTTAATTTTGATCTTCACATTTTATCTTCTGGTACTATTTCATGTTTCAAAACCTTCCAGATTGGACTCTAAAACCTTACGACATCATACTTGCTCAAGTTGTTAATGCAGCAGTGTATGTATAATAACTTGTGATATAATCTGGAAATGGCAATGGCTATTCTACTGGGATTTAGAATAATGTATTTGATGGAAACTTATCACCACTCTATATTGAATTAGCAAAGAGTTAAGAATTAGATCATACGTTATAAGTATCCTGAATAGCATTTTTTAGACAAAAACCATGAAAACCTTCTTTTTTTTTTTTCTCCCTCCTTCACTTATTGGACTTTAAGGTTCGTAATGAACCCGGACCCTGTGATTAAAATAGAGGATTTTTCTGAAAGATATTTAAGAGCTCTGAAGAGAGCTTAATCAGGTGGCCTTGACATGATGCCTGTCATGGCTGTGCATATGGAATTTGATGGAGTCTTTTAAATGATATTTAGACTCCACATTTTCTAATTTTTTCCCCCCCCCCACTGAGAGATATTCAATTGAACATTGAATATATTGTTTGTCTATTGGAAAATATTCAGAATGGAAGTCCAAAGAAATTAGAATTCTCACTAAGAAAAAGGAGAGGGTGCACGCTTTCTTACTGACCTAATCCAGCTGTAGAATTTAAACTCTTAAAAATGAAAATAAACAGAATGTAATCATTTGGCATGGCAATGCAAACTGCTAGTCTCAGAAGTGTACATTTAAGGTTGCGTAATTACCTCCATGAAGCTAAGGGTTTAGTCGTTTGAGCTGTAGCTTTATGGTTTGCCTATAGCTTATGGTTTACCTTTCCTATACCTATATAGTGTATCCTGAAGGCCAAGATGGGGAAGGAGTACTACACAGCTTCAGGAAAAGAGAAGTGTCTGAAATATCGCACAGCTTAATCACACAGCTAGTTTACTTTTCCATTATTTCTTTATATTAGTACATGTATTTGAGCAAATTAATTTGAAAGTTTGTGCAATTTATGGTTTTATGGTATCATATAGCATGATACAAATGACAAATATTATATGAATTTGCTTCTAAGAGCATTGGAAGGAAGTTTACTTCAGCGTTATAGAATTCACGCAACAAAAATAATTTGAAAATTAAAAGCCTGAGCCATGAAAGCCTAAATTACTCTCCTGTCTTACATCATGCCTTTCTTTTCAGTGAGGCAAGGTAAGAGTCTTCAAAAAAAGATGAATTCAGTAGTTTTATTGAAAACTTTCTAGTGCAGTAAGACCACTAATTGCTTTGATATTAATGAGTTGTATTTAAAATTATTGACAATATTTTATATACCTGGGCAAATATTTTCAAAGAGCAGAAACTAAAGCTGTAATTGTATAAATGACAGTGGTGCCCAGTGACAGGATGAAAGGCAATGGGCAAAAACTGAAATACAGGAAGTTCTGACTGAACATAAGAAAAACCTTTACTGTGAGGGTGACTGAGCACAGGTTGCCCAGAGAGGTTGTGGACTCTCCTTCCTTGGAAGCATTCAAAAGTGTCCTGGATGCAATCCTGGGCAAAGTGCTCTAGGCAGTCTTGCCTGAGCAGTTGGGTTGGACTAGATGATCTCCAAAGGTCCCTGCCAACCTCAACCATTCTGTGATTCTGTGACAAACACATTTAAGTCAGGAACAGAAATCTCAAGCACTTGAAATTATTGAACTGTGTGGTAGATGATTATCTAACCACAACAGTCGAACTTGCTTGACTTGTGAAAGGCAACTGTATGAGAAAATGATGTTGTGAAGAAGGTTGTCCTGGCATGTCAGAAACAGGCAAAACTGCATGACCTGATTTCCCCAAGTCTGAAATCCAGATTTGTCAAAAAACTTCTGGAGAAGGATGACTAAGTTGATCCCCTCTCCCTGATCTTTTCAAGTTGACTTTTGTAAGTAAAAGCTCCAAGCAGCTTGAAAAATACTTGCCGTTCTCAATAGAACGGTTAACAAATCACTCTTCTATACGTCAGTGTTAGGGTAGAAAAATAACAACTGGTGCAAATATTTATTCTCATGTTTCTCATGCAAGTAACGACGTGTCCTGAGTGAGTTAGATACAGAAGGAGAATATAAGATAGAATTCTGACAAGATGGGCTTCTAAATGAAAGTGTTAAAAGGATTTGAAAAAAAGAGTATTCATTTCTTGGAGATGAAGATGAAATTGACTTTGAAAGAGAAGAAAACCTGCAAAATTAGAATAGGGAAGGAAAGTGCAAAAAATTAGAATTCAGCTAGTGGAACTGTCAATCTGGTTAAATGAACAATTTCAGTTTCAATGAATTAAACTGTACAAAAGAACGCTTCTAGTACATGGTTTAGTCTTTAGTTATTGAAAATTGCAACAAACCTAGTGAGATGGTATTCTTGTGTGCTTATGCTTTACCTTTATTGTTATTTGTCACTTACCATATATAGTGAAATGATATTGATAGATCTGTGGCACACTACTTCTGTATAGTTAGGAATATAATTCTCATTACGTGTAAACCAGACTGTGATACTTATTGTTGAATGGTCCTATATAATGCATGTCGATCACTGTGAAATTATATGCAGTGAAAATGCTTGATATCAAATTCATTCAGATGTTAGGGGCATTTAGTTCCAATTATGTTCTTTAATCTTGCATTTTAAGTGGTTCATGTGGATGTGGCAGTGCCTTTAAAACTAGGATCAGCTGGTATCCACTTCAAAGTCCGTACATGGGTGTTACTCTTTGACTTGTAGAAATCTTGTCATTTCCTGTTAAATTGTGTGGAGATGGAGAAAATGTGGACAGCTATTCCTGTATAAAAATTTCTGCGCTGTGCACTTAGTAAGTAGTGACTCTGGAAGATATGTATTTTGGCAAAGCAGAATACCAGTTTTTGGCAGCTCTGATTTGCCCACAGAGTTACCTTTTCTTCACTTTGGTAAAATGAGTGGAGTAAGCTGTCTGCTTCCCCTATGAATACAGCAGTTCTGCATTTAGAAAAATTCATTTCATTGGTACATAAATCATAAGGCCTGATTTGCAGTCATGCTAGTCATAGCTTGCGTTTTGTGATCTATTGCATCCATCTGTTGCAGAGATAACTCGCTCTGGAAGAGTCCTGGGCTGGAAAATACCCCGTGGCTCCACCTAGAAGTACTCTGGCTCTAGCACAGTGGTGTCTGTAAAAAGGCGTGTTAGCAGGCAAACATGCTTAGAGATTTCACTTCTAACAGGTAGGCCAGCAGCTAAAGTTACTTTATGAAAGTCTCATTCCAATTTATTAACGTGGACTCAGGCTTCTCTTCTGTCGTAAGCACCGTTATCAGGACTGTAGGTAAAGCCAGCAGAGTATATTCTTAAGCAAAGAGGCACCGAGCTGAGTAAAAGTGAGTCTGCAGCTAAAATTTCCAAATTTTCCAGAGCTATAGAGATTTATGGGAGAGGGAGAAGCGAGGAATGTGACTCATCACAAAGGTGAGTGTATCCACTGAAAAAAGAGGTAGATAAAATGTGGTTTATCTGTATGACATTATTAGGTTAGAGGTGGTAGATTTGCTTATTAGGCCACAGTGAAGTGAGTAACAGCAGTTTAGTTACGAAATTGTGCTTCAGTAACTTGTACGATACTATCTTCTAAAAAGAATGAAGCTGGTCTGGAGTAGTTGAGCAAAGCATAGATCAACACAGAAAGCAAAATGTCTCTTCAGAGGAGGGGCTGAAAATACAAGGCATGTTTGCAAAACACAGCACACAAAAACACAGACCACGTGGAAAAACAGCATAGATATAAGCGGGAGGTGGGAAGTAAAAAAGGGAGGAAGAAAAGGTTGAGTTTCTGACCAAAGCTGCTGAGGAACACCAGTGATCAGAACAGCTCAGAGATCTTGGAAAGCCTGTAAACTGAACACCATCTTACACGTTTACTTAGTACTGTTGGTATGCTCTGTTACCAATACTGCATTTTTTCTCTTTGGAAGGGAGAAAGGTATGGGAAGGTTTTAAGGAGAGGCAGAGAGGGATGAAATATGCTGTAGAATGTTCTGGCTAAAGCCAGCTCTGTGCTTCAGCAGCCAGAGAGAAAGGCTCCTCTCCTTTTTAAATCTCCTTCCCTGCAATATTTAACCTATCTTTGCCTGAGACTCGTCAGACTTGAGTATTCCAACTCAGACTTCTTATTAGTTTCCACCAAAAATCACTACTACCTAGACCTTTTTTTTCTCCACAGCTTTTTCTGCTAATGATTAAGGCAATATTCAAATGGCTTATATGATCATGGTTATACTGTTTATAGTTTTAAAAATTTCTCCTAAAATATACTAATATTCCAAATGGATGAAAATGATGGTCATGTCTTTTATAATGGGGATTACAGCGTCATACTGAAGGCTACAGTTGTGTAACTGGGCAAAAGTGAGTTATAACCTTAGGTACCATTAATGTTAAACTCTGTCTGGTAGAATACTGTAGTGCAATGTATTATATTTTGGAGGGGGAAGAAACCCGGTTTATAGAAATACATTACGAAATGACTGTCTGGGACTGTTGTATCCTTCAGTTGTTCATTACCCTAGTTGTGCAAGACTTGCAGGGAACCATATAGGGACAAACTATAGCTTTTGCATACCAAAAGAGCTGTGATTTATTAAGCCGTTATTTTGGGGATTTCCCAGCTTAAAAGCAAAAGTTTGAGAAATTTAATATTTTGTCTCTAAGAAAGTGTAAAGCTTACATTTCTCTGGCTTAAGTTATGGTACCTAGCTAATTTATAGGCTGAAAAAAATCTTGTCATTGTTGCATAATTGAATTTCATCCCTCAGAGGTCTTGAGTAGTGATCAGAGAGAAATTGCTTTTGAGAGTAGGTGGAAGAAACGCAGTTCTGGGACTAGGTGCTTCTTACTGTTTTAAGGTTTGCAGCTGTTTTAAGTTGCTTAAGAGTATAAAACGGTGATGACTTCTGTGAGAAATACTGCAGGCAAGGCAGTCAAAAGAGGATGAAAAATGGGTTAATCATGCAGCTTTTCAACTTAGTGCAAGCTTATCTCTGACATATGTAGCACCATGCAAATGCAAGCTGTGAGAATTGTGTTTTACCTGTGTACTTTCTTCATTGATTCACTCTAAGGGATCTAATCAGTCCCTTTTTTTAATACATACTTTAGTTATAGGAAATACGTAGTAACGTGGTCAGAAACTGGGCTTAAGTGGGCTGACTCAAGGTCTCATGAAAACCCCAAACTACCCAAAATAAAAGCTAACCAATAGACTTTGAAGGCAAAATCACTATCATAAATACAGCAGCTTTTTTTCTTTTTCTTTTCTTTCCCCTCTTGTTTATTCCAAATTTGAGAACTACCAATCAATGTGAATTACTCTTGGAATAGCTGCCGTTAAGGAATGTCATGATTTCAAATAGACAGTATTTCTCTGCCAGAAGTGCATTGCCTTAAGTGTCGCTCACCATTCTCACTGAAATGCTCTCATCTTCAAGGAGAGCAGGACTGCAACAGAAGGAGCAAATACTGCTTACATTTACTTTCATGTGAACAGGTAGTATTCTTCTAATTGTTAAAGATGTATTTTGGATCTGGGCATTTATCAAATAAAATTTCATGCTTTATGATAAAAATAATTAATGCAACTTTAGAGATGCGTAATGTAAACCACTGTCCAGTCAGACTTAAGATCTATGTTTTTCAGCTGATAGTGTGGTAGTTAGAAAAAGTGTAGTTAAAAAAAATAGTTAGAAGTAACCAAGACTGCTTTTGCCTTTTTGCACAGGTTTGTATTGACCCCTTCAGTTATAATTGAGAAGATAAAGTGCATGTCTGATGTTGGCATAGGTGGTGGTCTTCCAACATCAAGTCTTAGATGCGTATGAGGGAAAAATGTTTTCAATAGCATATTATTTCTGAAACAAAATTATTACATAACCATAAACTGGCTTTGAATGGTATACTATTGTGACTTTCCAAGAGATTACCAAATCAAAATTGCTTATTTTAAGCTACGTTATTTTGTTGTTTTAAAAGAGCACTGTGGTGGTAGCTGTAATACTACACAGGAAGTGCCATCCAGTCATAATTCATGGTTTGGAATAGTTGCAGAGTCTCACAGTGTGTCAGGAGAGTTGAGTTCTGCTGGGGAAGTCTGGTCCTGACCTCCTGGAGAACTAACTACCAAGTGGGAGGATATGAAGTGATAGCTTGTAGCTTGCAAGGCACATGGCAGAGATGTGTGTGCCATTGATTATTTTGGATGAATACATTCCCCCCCCCACACACACACATTTGTGGTTACTGCTATTGTACTGGAACTATCTAGATTTGAAAAACAAATCCATGTGCTATTACACTACATGGCTGGAAGAGAACGTTTTTACTAGGAGTTGTTCAGAAAGGACTCTACATAACTAAGCAACAAACATAATAGAAATGATACTCACAAAGAAAAGATGACTGGTACTAATTTCAGCAATTGGTAAAATTATATGAAGGTGGTTGAAGCCCATAGCCACTGCTGCAAGAATTCTTTTGCTAGGGTGACCATGAGTCATCTTGGGCTACAGTCAGCGATAATAATATTAAAAATCTCTTATCTAACTAAGAAAACCAGTCCCAAAGGACAATTACCAGATGGCTCCTGATAAAATCAAAGGCAAACCTGACCAAAATTGCAGAAAACTTATAGTTTTGGAAGGAGCACTGAATGGCTTCTACCAGATGCAGTATCTGTTGCTTACCAGTTGCAGGAGATTAATGTGCCAAGCTTTTGGGAACACTATCTATGAATTTTAATTGGATGGTCATCCTGCTCTGCATCTCCAAGAGAGGGTGCTGGAACAATTTCCTAGTAGAATGCTCATGCAGAAAAGATCCATGTGACAGAAGCACTTCCGGAGTTTATACTAAAGGTCAGTCAGGAATCATTTATAGGCCATCACTACTTTATGGTTTTTTTCTAGGTTTGGATTATTTTCTAAATATGTGAGAGGTCTCTGAAGCCCTGGATGGTGAGAACTGCTGGGTGGTATTCAGCAGCAGTGATATTCAGATTATGTTTTACGAGAAGGATTTATAAGGCATTCTCCTCTTCTCTGTTCCTAACCCCATCCTTTCCTTTAGAGCAGGCACCTGCTCTGCTTTTATTCTGAGTGATATTTCCTTCACTTATGCACGATCTTTCTAAAGGGAAAGTAGTGGGAGATGGAAACATGCCCCCTTCAAGAATAAGGCCCAAATAATATACAGAGAACAGGTCTGCATTAAGGTGGCTGGCCTAACAGTTATTTATTATGAGTAATCTTTAAGACCTATACCTTTAAGACAAATGGTTTGTGGGCCAGTCAGATTTGTTGAGGAAAGACTACAAAGAACATGTGAATTGAAGACAGGAATAGGAAAAAAGTTCTGACAGGCTAAAATGATCAGTCAGGAGAAGACCTAAGACAAGCTGCATCAGGCTTTGTTAGCAAGTTGCAGACAGCTGTGAGCGGTTGGTGGTGTCCTGGAAGAGAAAACATTACAAAATTATCTATTCCAGGCTGTGAATGAGTACCACAGTGCATGAACAGGACAAAAATATGAAGAGAGGAGAAATTGTGAAATACAGGGACGAAACATTGAGGATCATTTATCCTGCCATTTCTAGGTTACGCCGTAGTGTGTTTGGAGAAGGACAGTGGAATCACTGATCTGGGAAGCCTCTGACTGGCTCTGTAATTCAGGAGTGGTAGTCAGGCCATCCTAGCTGCTCATTCTGGAAGAGAGGCAAAAACCATGTAGATGTGCCATGTGTCTGTGCCTAATCATGGAGCCCTTTTTGACTAAATATTCTGCCATTTATGTGAACTAACTTTAGCCTCTGCTGCAAGAAAAGCAAACGTATAAGAGCCAGTAAACCGAGTATAAAGATTATGCATTAAACAGCTGGCAGTTTCATGTCCCTTCTTTTAGTTCTTTCTCTCTCTCTCTCTGTCTCTGTCTCTCTCTCTCTATGTATGTATGTATGTATAATTTCTGCAGATTTTCTCAAACTGGCACTGTACCAATTGAAAGCTAAGCTATTAATGGTGGTGTTCATCTTGAGTTCTATCTTTAATAACATATACAAGGAGTTTCCCAAAACCTTCACAAAGATCAAGTCCAAATGACTCATGCAAATTTTTCCTGACGTTTTCCTGGCTGCTGCCCCAACTTGAAACTGGTTAGTTCAGGTAGAGAAGTCAATACCACT